ACCTATAAACATGGTAATTATTCTACTTAATGCATGCAAGCTGTTTAGGGGGTTCTATACATCCTTCGTAGTTAGGCTCAGAATTTTTCAGCTCGTTTGTAGTAAGTATTGAGGATTCCGTTGACCTAGCAAATCAGTCTTTGCATACAACGATCTTTCAACTTATGGTATAAATAAACAAATCAAATGTTTATTATCATGTACGTGACATGCAAGTGCAAAGTCGTACAAGAATAATAATTGTCGAACCTATTTTTGAGGCCCTATTTTGTAACCATGGTCGTCTTAACAATATATGAGAACAGTGTTTAACATATGTACCCCATGGCATCCACAATAGCTTTATAAATACTATACACCTGTATCAACACTTCATATATTGTATTGACATACAGAGAAGCGCTGCCATCTTCACAACAAGTAGCTGTGTTAAAGGCATGATAACCAATTTTTGAAAAATGATTGTAAAATTAGAATGATCTTTTCAACTGATTCGTAGTGATAACCCCACAATTGTACAGTTGACATCGGTATGTTAGAGGGCTCTTTGACAGTTACCTCCTTCGCTACACGTTGTTCAAGAAGATGCATGACCGCTTGTATTGTTACATACCACGAAACAGCCCCACCCCTTGTTGTACCACTGGTAAGTGTGTTCTGTCCTAACGTAGTCCTGTAGATATACAATACACGTGTTCTGTATGATTATTTGTATGTGTTTTGTCAAGGTAAGACTGTAGACAAGTCCAATAACTGTTGTTCTCAGACATCGACGACTGCCAAGGTGAGCCCTGTCTGCACAACGGAACCTGCGTCGACGGCGTGAACTCGTACGTGTGTGGGTGTAGTCACGGATATACAGGGGACACCTGCCAAACAGGTGTGTCTCTATACATAACATCTTAACGTTACGCTCAAAGGGAGTTCAATCACGCACACCATTTCCACTCCTTCTTGTTACGGTCAACGGGCATACAGCCACTAACACCATCTTACATTCCTACTAGGGAGACAGTCACACACACACCATCTTACATTCCTTCTAGTCACGGTCAACAGGTATACAGTCACACACATACCATCTTACATTCCCTCTAGTCACGGTCAACAGGGATACAGTCACACATACCATCTTACATTCCCTCTAGTCACGGTCAACAGGGATACAGTCACACATACCATCTTACATTCCTTCTAGTCACGGTCAACAGGGATACAGTCACGCACAACATCTTACATTCCTTCTAGTCACGGTCAACAGGGATACAGTCACACATACCATCTTACATTCCCTCTAGTCACGGTCAACAGGGATACAGTCACGCACAACATCTTACATTCCTTCTAGTCACGGTCAACAGGGATACAGTCACACATACCATCTTACATTCCTTCTAGTCACGGTCAACAGGGATACAGTCACGCACAACATCTTACATTCCTTCTAGTCACGGTCAACAGGGATACAGTCACACATACCATCTTACATTCCCTCTAGTCACGGTCAACAGGGATACAGTCACGCACAACATCTTACATTCCTTCTAGTCACGGTCAACAGGGATACAGTCACACATACCATCTTACATTCCCTCTAGTCACGATCAACAGGGATACAGTCACACATACCATCTTACATTCCTTCTAGTTACGGTCAACAGGTATACAGTCACACACGTCATCTTACATTCCTTCTTGTTGCAGTCAACAGGGGATAGAGTCACGCACATCATCTTACATTCCTTCTAGTCACGGTCAACAAGTATACAGTCACACATACCATCTTACATTCCTTCTAGTCACAGTCAACAGGGATAAAGTCACGAACACCATCTTACATTCCTCCTAGTCACGGTCAACAGGGATACAGTCACGCACACCATCTTACATTCCTTCTAGTCCTGGTCAACGAGGATACAGTCACCACACCAGCTTATATTCCTTCTTTACCCTTCTTGTTACAGTCAACGGGGATACAGTCACGCACACCATCTTATATTCCTTCTTCATCCTTCTTGTTACAGTCAACGGGGATACAGTCACGCACACCATCTTATATTCCTTCTTCATCCTTCTTGTTACAGTCAACGAGGATACAGTCACACACATACCATCTTACATTCCTTCTAGTCACGGTCAACAGGGATAAAGTCACGAACACCATCTTACATTCCTCCTAGTCACGGTCAACAGGGATACAGTCACGCACACCATCTTACATTCCTTCTAGTCATGGTCAACGAGGATACAGTCACACACACCAGCTTATATTCCTTCTTTATCCTTCTTGTTACAGTCAACGGGGATACAGTCACGCACACCATCTTATATTCCTTCTTCATCCTTCTTGTTACAGTCAACGGGGATACAGTCACGCACACCATCTTACATTACTTCTTGTCACGGTCAACGGGGATACAGTCACGCACACCATCTTATATTCCTTCTTTATCCTTCTTGTTACAGTCAACGGGGATACAGTCACGCACACCATCTTATGTTCCTTCTTCATCCTTCTTGTTATAGTCAACGGGGATACAGTCACGCACACCATCTTATATTCCTTCTTTATCCTTCTTGTTAAAGTCAACGGGGATACAGTCACGCACATCATCTTATATTCCTTCTTCATCCTTCTTGTCACGGTCAACGGGCATACAGTCACGCACATCATCTTATATTCCTTCTTGTTGAAGTCAACGGGGATACAGTCACGCACACAATCTTAAATTCCTTCTGGTTACAGTCAACGGGGATACAGTCACGCACACCATCTTACATTACATCTTGTTACGGTCGACGGGCATACAGTCACATATACCATCTTACATTCCTTCTAGTCACGCTCAATGGGGATACAGTCACACATACCATCTTACATTCCTTCTTGTTACGGTCAACAGGGATAAAGTCACACACACACCTTCTTACATTCCTTCTAGTCACGGCCAACGGGGATACAATCACTACCACCATCTTACATTCCTTCTTGTTACGGTCAACATGGATACAGTCACGCACACCATCTTACATTCCTTCTTGTTACAGTCAACGGGGATAGAGTCACGCACACCATCTTATATTTCTTCTTGTTACAGTCAACGGGGATACAGTCACGCACACCATCTTATATTCCTTCTTGTCACGGTCAACGGGGATACAGTCACGCACACCATCTTATATTCCTTCTTGTTACAGTCAACAGGGATAAAGTCTAGCACACCATCTTACATTCCTTCTTGTTACGGTCAACAGGGATACAGTCACGCACACCATCTTACATTCCTTCTTGTTACGGTCAACAGGGATACAGTCACGCACACCATCTGACATTCCTTCTTGTTACGGTCAACAGGGAGAAAGCCAAACACACACCATCTTACATTCCTTCTTGTTACGGTCAACAGGGATAATGTCACGCACACCATCTTACATTCCTTCTTGTTACGGTCAACAGGGATAAAGTCACACACACCAGCTTAGATTCCTTCTTGTCACGGCCAACGGGGATACAATCACTACCAACAGCTTACATTCACCCTGTTACGGTCAACAGGGATACAGCCACGCACACCATCTTACATTCCTTCTTGTTACGGTCAACAGGGATAAAGTCACGCACACCATCTTACATTCCTTCTTGTTACGGTCAACGGGGATACAGTCTCGCACAACATCTTACATTCCTTCTTGTTACGGTCAACAGGGGATAGAGTCACGCACACATCAGCTTAGATTCCTTCTTGTCACGGGCAACGGGGATACAGTCACACACACACCATCTTACATTCCTTCTTGTTACGGTCAACAGGAATACAGTCTCGCACATCTTACATTACTTCTTGTCACGGTCAACAGGGATACAGTCTCGCACAACATCTTACATTCCTTCTTGTTACGGTCAACAGGGGATAGAGTCACGCACACCATCTTATATTCTTTCTTGTCACGGTCAACTGGGATACAGTCCCACACAACAGCTTACATTCCTTCTTGTTACGGTCAACAGGGGATAGAGTCACGCACACCATCTTATATTTCTTCTTGTCACGGTCAACGGGGATACAGTCCCACACAACAGCTAACATTCCTTCTTGTCACGGTCAACGGGGATACAATCAAGCACACCATCTTACATTCCTTCTTTTCACCGTCAACGGGCATACAGTCACACACAACATTTTACATTCCTTCTGTTCACCGTCAACTGATGTACAGGCACACACATCAGTTTGTTACATATGATTTCCTCACCACTTATATTACGGCGTGTAAGATTTATGTGTAAGTTCAGTAAAATTCGCGAGCACAGACACATGGTACGGACAAACCTAGAAATATACTCACACATAGATTGAAACCCAGGAACATACACGGCTAATGGGAGGTAACTCTGCACAGCGTATTGAAGCGCCCCAGAACAACCCCGCCACCTGTGCCCCCGTCAGATATATTGAATCTCCGATGACATACTTAAACATTCAAAGCTCTGTAAGTTTTTCTTCTGACTGGCGTGTCATGTCATCGCGACACAGACTAACTGATAGGGTTGGAGAGGTGTGTGTTTCACTGTGTATATGCTTGGCTTCATGGCGAGTTCACACAGCACAAAGTCCTTGAACCACATCAACAGATTTATGATTGTAACACATTCTGTTTATGACAAACGCATTATGATAGGCATATATCACGACGTCTTGGCAGCTTCAAGCTGTGGCACATGATCTAGACAGGAAACTGAATATTTTCCATTTCTTTTGAAGCAGTGAGGTCGTCCTCATGAATATGACCTCGCGTCATGTAAGAAAAATATTATCGACATTGTAATATGACACGTTGCGTGAGATGTAATATGATTTGTATGTTTGTCTATATGAATGGGTTTAAGGGTTGATTCAAATAAACTTAAATATCGGATATATAGGAAATAAATTTCCTCCTCAATCGCCTATGACAAATTTTACTGACCGACGTGTGTTACTGTTTTTGTCTTGCAGATATCGATGAATGTGCGCACCATGTGTGTCACCATAACTCTACTTGTGTGGACGGTGTCAGCGGCTACATGTGCACCTGTGCACCCGGCTACATTGGCACGTACTGTCAGACAGGTAGATCACTATCACATTTATCAGTTGGACATACGAGCACGTATGTATGTCACGTGGTGAGAGAGGTCCCGTAGGTCAGTTCTACTTCCTGATCCGTGTCCATGAATAGCAGACTGCTCATAGCCCTACTGGAACTCCCCATGTATCAGTCATACATACCAGGAAGTAGCTCCCCCACAGGCCTGAGGGTTTGAAATTGAAACCTCCGTACGAAATGGAAGACAATATTTGGTAGTCATAACAAGTTTTGTGGTTGTTCTGAACGTATGTGAAGAACTTGATGGATACGGATATAGCTCTGTTTAACCCTAATATCGTTTTCACAAGGATCTAGCGTTATCACTTTACAACAAAACTTTCATGTCAACAAATCCAACTGAAGGCGTGAACCTTCCTTTGTTATTGACGATCAGCTAGGGCTGCTTCAGAGGTGAAATGGGGTTCAACGTCGCGTTCAACATTATGTCACTTATCTTGCAACGTGCATGTACATCTGAGTGTGTTTGCGTGCACGTTTCCACACGTATGTCGGTTTTACAGTGCTAACCCACTGAGACACCATGCTACAGTTTAACATGGATACTCCACTGTTTCCACGGAATAAGATGAGTGAGTGCGTGAGTTTGGTTAAACGTCGTTTTGAACAATACTTCATTTATAGCAGGTCTGAGAAGTTTTGAACTTTGATCAAATTTACGACCATGGTGCTAACAAACCTGAATAACATAATCAGGAAGAGTCGGGATTCAAACCCAAGACCATAGGCTTGCATTACGCCAAAGGGACGCATCGCAGCACAGTTGATTGCAGCGTCTTAGGAGACTGGGCCACCCTTGCTGTCTTACGGGGGATGGGAGTGATGTAGAAAGATGACAATGTAACAAGGCGTTGTGAAGACATTGACTGAGTGACAATATAACATTTTAAGCGTCCACCTGAGAGTTACAATGAATGTCTGCAGGACTGTTGAGTAAAACTATATAGTCGACAAGAAGATGCCTCGATCTGTTAATTTCTGGCACGAATATTTTCATAGCGTCCTTTATTCCATAGGTTGATGTTGAGGGTTCTAGCCACCTGATCTTGTGGTCGGGGTTTAAGTATTTTTATGTACAACATTGGTTTCCAGGACCTACTGGTCCGGGTTTCAATTCCAAGATGCACCAAGACCCTTGGTCTGTCAGTACAATACACAGCGCAATGAGTTTTTAATCATGGGGTAAACTTCTGCGTTACTGCTATCAAGATAAAGTTTATACGCCATGAAATTACTAAAACAATGGTCATAGCGAGGTTAATGATAGGAATCTGAGATATTGACAACGTACTTGTATATTGTGTTATCTTCAGATATCGATGAATGCTTGTCTGAGCCCTGCCTCCACGACGGCGTCTGTATCAATGGCATGAATACCTACAACTGTTCTTGTGTGGAAGGGTATTTTGGAACAGTTTGCGAAGAAGGTAACCTCAAGCTTATTATCTTTACTGTAGTAATTTGCGGTGACTGATGCTATAACACAGCTGGATTTGGGCTGTGGACAGTATACGTTATATGTTAAAACGGCGGAGTTCACTAACCTTAACATTTCCATCCCAGAATATGATACTACAACCTCGGGTCCAACATCAACATCCTCGTCTACATCTACGGCAAGCAGCATTCTGACAACCAACCCTTCCACTCCAACATCTCCCGATAATACATTATCTTCAAGTACATCCGATGTCAATCAAAAAACGGTTTCAAAAAGGAATTTTTCTAACTATTTGTTACTCAGCTACAAAAATTTGAGTTCATATTTCCGGAAGCGTTCCACTGCACATGACAGTAGGATTTCGTCGATTCTGATTGGTTGTGGAGCCTTGCTTGTCACATTGTGTGCAATGGCCGTCGTGTGTGTACATGACTGCATGGTTTTTTTCTGGACTCCGAGGAGGAAGGTGGAAGCGTTCGATATGTTGCGTCGTCATGGACTCGCGGATCCGTCGTCGAGGTATGCTGTTACCACTACGTCGGTGATACAGGTCAGGGAGAAGTCCCACGGTGCAATAGCTGCAGTTGAAGAGACAGTAACGTAGGAGGTGCTACACACATTTAACGCCAAACCCAAATGTACATGTCATGGCCGGTAAGTCTAACGCGACACCCAAATGTACACAAAGTGAATGGGAGGTCTAAAGCTAGATCCAAGTGCACGTCATGTATCGTGACGAGGAGGTACGTCTAACGTTACATCCATGTGTAGATGATGTGACTGACAAATAAATCTAACGTTAGATCCATGTGTAGATGATGTGACTGACAAATAAATCTAACGTTAGATCCATATGTAGATGATGTGACGACAAACAAATTTAAAGTTAGGTCAATATGTAGATGATGTGACTGACAAGTAAATCTAACGTTAGATCTATGTGTAGATGATAGACTGACAAGTAAATCTAACGTTAGATCTATGTGTAGATGATGTGACTGACAAGCAAATCTAACGTTAGATCCATGTGTAGATGATAGAATTACAAGTAAATCTAACGTTAGATCTATATGTAGATGATGTGACTGACAAGTAAATCTAACGTTAGATCTATATGTAGATGATAGACTGACAAGTAAATCTAACGTTAGATCTATGTGTAGATGATAGACTGACAAATAAATCTAACGTTAGATCTATGTGTAGATGATGTGACTGACAAGCAAATCTAACGTTAGATCCATATGTAGATGATAGAATTACAAGTAAATCTAACGTTAGATCTATATGTAGATGATAGACTGACAAGTAAATCTAACGTTAGGTCCATGTGTATTTGATGTGACTGACAAGCAAATCTAACGTTAGATCCATGTGTAGATGATGTTACTGGCAAGTAAATCTAACGTTGGATCCATGTTCAGATGATAGACTGACAAATAAATCTAACGTTAGATCCATATGTAGATGATGTGACGACAAACAAATTTAACGTTAGATCCATGTGTAGATGATGTTGACCCTCAAATAAATCTAACGTTAGATCCATGTGTATTTGATGTGACTGACAAGTAAATCTAACGTTAGATCCATATGTAGATGATGTGACGACAAACAAATCTAACGTTAGGTCCATATGTAGATGATGTGACTGACAAGTAAATCTAACGTTAGATCTATGTGTAGATGATAGACTGACAAGTAAATCTAACGTTAGATCCATTTGTAGATGATAGAATTACAAGTAAATCTAACCTTAGATGCATGTGTAGATGATGTTACTGGCAAGTAAATCTAACGTTGGATCCATGTTCAGATGATAGACTGACAAGTAAATCTAACGTTAGATCTATGTGTAGATGATGTGACTGACAAGCAAATCTAACGTTAGATCCATGTGTAGATGATAGAATTACAAGTAAATCTAACGTTAGATCTATGTGTAGATGATGTGACTGACAAGCAAATCTAACGTTAGATCTATATGTAGATGATAGACTGACAAGTAAATCTAACGTTAGATCCATTTGTAGATGATAGAATTACAAGTAAGTCTAACGTTAGATCTATGTGTAGATGATGTGACTGACAAGCAAATCTAACGTTAGATCCATGTGTAGATGATAGAATTACAAGTAAATCTAACGTTAGATCTATATGTAGATGATAGACTGACAAGTAAATCTAACGTTAGGTCCATGTGTATTTGATGTGACTGACAAGCAAATCTAACGTTAGATCCATGTGTAGATGATGTTACTGGCAAGTAAATCTAACGTTGGATCCATGTTCAGATGATAGACTGACAAATAAATCTAACGTTAGATCCATATGTAGATGATGTGACGACAAACAAATTTAACGTTAGATCCATGTGTAGATGATGTTGACCCTCAAATAAATCTAACGTTAGATCCATGTGTATTTGATGTGACTGACAAGTAAATCTAACGTTAGATCCATATGTAGATGATGTGACGACAAACAAATCTAACGTTAGGTCCATATGTAGATGATGTGACTGACAAGTAAATCTAACGTTAGATCTATGTGTAGATGATAGACTGACAAGTAAATCTAACGTTAGATCCATTTGTAGATGATAGAATTACAAGTAAATCTAACCTTAGATGCATGTGTAGATGATGTTACTGGCAAGTAAATCTAACGTTGGATCCATGTTCAGATGATAGACTGACAAGTAAATCTAACGTTAGATCCATGTTCAGATGGTAGACTGACAACTAAATCTAAGGTTAGATCCATGTTCAGATGATAGAATTACAATTAAATCTAACGTTAGATCCATGTGTATTTGATGTGACTGACAAGTAAATCTAACGTTACATCCATGTGTATCTGATGTGACTGACAAGTAAATCTAACGTTACATCCATGTGTATTTGATGTAACTGACAAGTAAATCTAACGTTAGATCCATGTGAAGATGATGTGACTGACAATAAAATCTAACGTTAGATCCATGTGTATTTGATGTAACTGACAAGTAAATCTAACGTAAGATCCATGTGTATTTGATGTGACTGACAAGTAAATCTAACGTTTGATCCATGTGTATTTGATGTGACTGACTTTACGTTAGATCCATGTGTAGATGATAGACTGACAAGTAAATCTAACGTTACATCCATGTGTATTTGATGTGACTGACAAGTAAATCTAACGTTTGATCCATGTGTATTTGATGTGACTGACAAGTAAATCTAACGTTTGATCCATGTGTATTTGATGTGACTGACTTTACGTTAGATCCATGTGTAGATGATAGACTGACAAGTAAATCTAACGTTACATCCATGTGTATTTGATGTGACTGACAAGTAAATATGACGTTAGATCCATGTGTAGATGATAGATCGATAAGAAAATAGGACGTTAGATCCATGTGTAGATGATTGACCGATAAGAAAATAGGACGTTAGATCCATGTGTAGATGATAGACCGATAGGAAAATATGACGTTAGATCCATGTGTAGATGATAGATCGATAAGAAAATAGGACGTTAGATCCATGTGTAGATGATAGACCGATAAGAAAATAGGACGTTAGATCCATGTGTAGATGATAGATCGATAAGAAAATAGGACGTTAGATCCATGTGTAGATGATAGACCGATAAGAAAATATGACGTTAGATCCATGTGTAGATGATAGACCGATAAGAAAATATGACGTTAGATCCATGTGTAGATGATAGACCGATAAGAAAATATGACGTTAGATCCATGTGTAGATGATAGACCGATAGGAAAATATGACGTTAGATCCAAGAATAGATGGAAGGAGTCAATCAGTTGACCAATATTCTGTGGTTGCGTTTACAAAATGTGGTCGAAGTTGAGTTGTGACATATATGACGTGGAATGACCTTATGCCAAACTTTGAAAATATCTATCTATTGAAAATTAATGTTTTACTTACACATTGTATGACTTTACACGAATGCGCTGGTTGATTCCATATGTACATTGTATGACTTTACACGAATGCGCTGGTTGATGCCATATGTACATTGTATGACTTTACATGAAGACTCTGGTTGATGCCATATGTACGTTGTATGACTTTACATGAAGACTCTGGTTGATGCCCCATGTACGGTTCCTGCGTAGTGGCGTTTGAGTCGATGTTTCACTACTTCAGAAAATCACATGCACTGTTAAGCCTTAAGATTTGTACCGACTGTACGAACATCACTGATGTAGTCTCGATTTGTCGTGGCGTCAATATATTTGTTTCTTGGTAATCATGAAAGTGTATGTTGTGTTTATCGCATTGTAGAGAACGTACTTAACCTAGTATGTACCTACTGTACGACTGCAGTGAAACATATTCGCCACATGATAACGATAATATATCAATGTACACTAGCTATATATACGTACAGCAATGATGGATCATATCAACACCTAGCAGGCACGTATCATGTCAATAGTGTTAAAGTTACAGTATCATCACTGTATCACGTTATCTTTACACATTTAGAATTGCCATGTCAGCCTGTTCTTCGAAATTGATGTGATACTGGTAAGAGGAGTTAGCCTCTATTCGGGACGTCCTGAGCTCCACCACTCACAGGCTAGTACGTTCTATTGCGTAACACAGTTGTGTGTAAGGGGCAATGTATATTAAACTCTACTGATAACAAATTGGTGTCGGTGTTTTATCAGCATGGTGTATGCTCAAAGGTTGATAGTCAGTATAGCTATTGCAGCACAATCTTCAGTCAATCAGCTCAGCAGGATACCCTGTTGCTTCGCCTAATCTTTGTGTGTTAAGATTTGTTACTTTCCTTAATTCAGCCGCCGCAATACCAGGTGGAGCGCCGTGTCCCAAATATGTGTTACATCGGTATGTGATTTACCATGTTTCATGATGAAACGTTTCGGCTGACTATGTTCAGTGTGACACTTGATTTGAGGTAGTTCTGGAACGTGATCGCTCCCATTCAAGTGTGTTGGCCGTATGCTTACACCAAGCCTTGGAACAAAGCCCTGAACCAGGAACAGGATAAGAAAAGCATGGACAATAGATATGCGGTGGATTACCTCCAACAGTCATTGAGCTGCTTCGACCGACAAGCTACGATTGTGGAACCCCTGGTAACTTCCTAATAAAATAACAAGCTGGTCTCATGCAGCGCGAACAGACTGGCCTGTGAGTATTTCTGTCTTGTCAGTAGTAGACCTCAGTCATAATCGTAATCATTCGTATCGACCCTGTAAAACACGATCCACGGAAAGGCCAGACCCCAACCACGCCATTCATAGAACCCTGTATAAGGACAGTGCACCATATGGGCTAAGAGTTGGAAGAAGTATGCTCACTGAATGTCTGAAGGTAGTTATGGGAGGCTTGAATTCAAAGCGGAGCTCCACCATTCCAAGATTGCTGTCTGTGAGGTCGGTAAGCAGTGAGTCTGAAAGATCAACCTCCAGTAGGTCATTGTTGAGGACAGCCTCCTGCAGAACCAGCTTTAAGGAATGGTCCCCCTTCCCCACGGACATTACAATGGTCACCGTCAATGGATCCAACGTGCTCGTTATTGTTGATTATAAGAATGAACTCCTCAAGACATTTTCGCAAACAGGGAATTATGAAATGTCTCTGAATGGGATTCCCTATCGCCTTTGTAAACTGAAAAACGACAAGGTTGCCCTCACGTTTCCTCTGTCGCGAGAGGTACGAGTGATCTCTTTACAACGTATGGAGGTTGCCCACGTGGTTGCAACAGAGAAGATGTATAACGGTATAACTTCAATTCCAAAGTTGAAAAACACACTAGTAGTTGGCACACTTCGTGAGGAGCCTGCTTCAATTGACTTTATTGATATGAGAGGAGCTGTTTTAAAATCATTCCAACATGATCAGTTGGGGAATGCAATATGCATGACTCCAAGCTTCCTGGCCACAACCCCAAGTGGGGATATTCTCATCTCAGATCATTCCATGCACGCTTTAATATGCATCTCTCAAAAAGGAGATGTTCAGTGGCGTCACCAACCACACAAGGGAGACAACTTTCTTGAAGATCCGGTAGGCGTGGCCTGCTTCAACGGAGATATTTTCGTCGTTGACAGACTCAAGGGATGTGTGTTTCGGTTCACCCATCGTGGTTGGTGCCACGGCTCTGTCATCGAAACCAGTAACATCTTCAGCGAGCCGTTCAGCATCTGCACCGACAGGAAGGGCACGATCTACGTGGGTCTGGATGACGGTGACATTCAGGTGTACCCGGATGGAGGAGCAGCCGAAATGACGACCTTCAGAACCGTCATCGACCTTCCTCGCCGGCAGCGCATAACCTGAGAATTCCATGTGAGCATATTTTGGTTTTAGTCGGTCCCGGAGTTAATCTTCTTGCTGTCGGGGGTCCTTTGTCATGAGAAAAGTAATGAGCGTTGGTGGACTGTTTGCGTGTGTCTAGAGCCACGGTGTGTGGTGATGTGAACTGAAGATGGAGACTGTGAAGTGAAAGGAAGGTGGTGTTTTCACAACGATGGCAACGTATGGACACATGGGTCATGACACTCATAACGTCGTCGTTCGTATTTTCCTTGTGCTGAAAAGTCATTTCCAGATTGTTCCGATGTCATGTGAGCTTCTGCTATGTTGGCACCTGATTATGTGATTGTTAAATTTCAACTGGTTCATACCAATTGTATCGAACTTCTTGTACACCTGAGATGGTATGTGAGGGTTCTATAACTTGGAGAATAATTTATACAATCGGCACAAGCAAATAGCACGGAATGACAGAAGCAGGGGTTGAGTGGTGTCTAGTTCACGGTGTGTGTTTAATGAAGCACTGCATTGACAACAGGACAAATCAGTGATGCTGACTTCTCAACATGCACCACTATTAATTTTGATTGAACTGTCATCCAAAGAAAATATACCCATAGTAACTTTTATCATATCAATGTGTATTTATTTTAATACATGACATGTAAATCAATTCACAAGCAATGTTATTAAAACGAAAAAGTCATGGTTAGGTTAACATCAGATCATCATTATCTTTTAATTATTTACTGTATTACTGTGCACAGAAATTTAAAAAATATATTCAATTAAACTATTTAAACATTATTCGAATGACGGTGTTTTAGCTCCTGGTTTTCAGTCAAAGAGTAAACCGCGACGAAGGTCAGAATGCCCTGATTGTTGAATAGTGTTTTAGTGTGCTATGTATTTAACAGTGTGTATTTATATATATCTTGTTATCGATATTTGAATTATCGCAGTCAAGTGATCGAAGCATCACAAATAATAGTCACACTTGGACTGGAAATACCCAACCTTGTGAGATGGCAAGGCAGCATTTGAATTTCAAAAATGGAAATAAAAACATAATATTTAACCCATTTATACGCCAGTACACTTTAATTCTTCAGCTCTCTAGGGCTGCCATTAGCCGAGTCCCTATTTTAGTAGGTGTGTTCACATGGCACTGTTGTCATGAGCGGTTTATTACTCCACAAAGACCAGTTGCATTCTGCTGCAATGCAGTTTCTGTGAAATGTCATTTATTTCAAATCTGCGTCAAATAAGTAAATACAACATACAAAAAATACAGTCGGTTTCTTGTGAACTATGTGCCGACGTTATTGTTCTAATAATTAGTATTTGTATGCATACTTAGTACAATAAAGTCCGATAACCAAAACATACGTCTATCTACATTTGAACAATTTGAATTCAGTATCTTAAGTGGAAACGTTTTCAAACAAGCCGTGAGGTGTTGAAGCTCGAGATGCTACATGTACTGCCTGGAGGTCTGGGATTTTACTTGCGCTTCAGCAAGTATCGTTCCCTGTGGGACTTGTTAAGTTGGACCGTGCGGACAACATTCAGCACACAAATACGCAACAAAGAACCGCCACAAACATATGCTAAGTTATGATGTCTAGATGTATAAATTAGTTCAAGCACATCTGACATGTGTTTACAGCCAAGGTCGGACAATGTCATGAATGACGTTAGAAGGTGCAAGAACCCGTCGCTATGACATGTTTACAGCTTTATTGTATTTGTGACGAGGGTGGGGTAGTTCAATTGTCAAGCGTTCACGCGTTAGATCGTCACGTCGAAGACTCGTGTTCAATCCCGCATGTGATTATTATTGGTGAAATCAATGTTATGTGTTTCCAAAGAATTTGACCTAGAACAGTGAGGGAGGGAATATGTTTTTATGCCGCTTGTAGCAATATTCCAGCAATATCACGGCGGGGGACACCAGAAAAGGGCTCCACACATTGTACCCATGTCGGGAATCGAACCAGAGTCTTCGGCGTGACGAGCGAACGCTTTAGCCACTAGGCTACCCGACCGCCCCTTGACCTAGAACAGAGCTACACAGGGCGTACATATCTCACTGATCGACGGCCCTTTTGGATACGAGAATACGAGCAGTCTGTGTGGAACGTTTCCCCATGTATTCCCTTACATGTGCTATCTGGTACTGTGGAACAGATCAAACGTGGCGTGGATCATGACTTAGTCAAACTTGCATTGGTTACATTAATCAATGTGATACCTCATAATAACGTTTCGTATCTTTTACTATTAACAAACTTGTTACTCTTTTCATTACAATATCTTTATATGGACTACAATACAACTTCAACAGCGACTTAATACAACGAAATGATGCAATTCTATATTTGAGACACTGGTATCCCAAGGGACAACTGGCTATAAGGCGGACAGTTAGTCACAGCATAACCACACAAAAGAAAATATATATTGAAAAGTCAACGTTCATTAAAGCAGATCTAGACTTATCGTATAAATGATCCACAATAATTTAATCAGTAGCCTTGCACGCCTTTGACGTGGACCTTGTTCACGTGTGTTTTAGCTGGCTTACCGCCCCTACCACAACCTCTGGCCCTCACGAAGTAGAAGTCGATTATCTCCAGGACTGTGAGGAAGCTTGCCCCAAGAAGCAGCCCGAGGGCACCCCCCACGTCACACAGCAGGTCCAGCAGCGTATAGGACAGGCGCTTCTCAATGAACTGATAAGACATAGACGTTAGATAGATCTCAAGCTCAACAAAGTTCTTCCGCCAGTAGGTAGAGTTACCTCCCTTGAAACGGGAGTATTCATCGAGGAAGTTGTCCGAAAGGGGCGCTGATGATGGAGTGGTGTCATAGATGAAGGTTGAGCAGGGATCAGGACAGGTCTTCTCACAGTTCTTGTCGCTGTTCTTGAGGTAGTCGTCAATCTTCGGGTAGACACACGAGAACAGCTCCGGTGGGTCACAGATAAGGGTGTCATTTCGCTTCATGAAGATTTCCTTACACCCACACTTGCCCACCACGTAGTCACTGAGACACTCCTGTCTACATGCCTGGGTGGAGTAGGGTGTGTCTTTGTAATGCTTCAGCTCCTTAGATCCACAATTGCTCACGGACTGGTCTGCATTTTTCAACTGAAAAACAATTACAATGTTCTGGTTAGATGATGCGTCTCGCAACAGAAAAACATCAACGTTTATGGCTTGTATCACACGACAATGTTTCCGTGTGTCAGTGAGTGAACGAGTGAGTATGGTTTTACGCCGCTTTTAGCAATATTTCAGCAATATCTGGGGACACCAGAAATGGGCTTCACACATTGTACCCATGTCGGGAATCGAACTCGGCGTGACGAACGAACGTTTTAACCACTAGGCTACCCGACCGCCCCGTTAGTTGATGTAGGTAATATAGGTGGTGCTATTGCAAAATATCTATAATCAGTGTCAACATCGTCGGCAAACCTTCAGCGATGAGAATATCAATCAATATTTTCAGGGAACGAACGATAATGCGGATTTCCCGATAAAATGCACCAAATTCACCAAACATATTGCACATCGATCAGAATAACTTTATGATCTGAATTGACCACATTTTTACTTCAGGGATAGAAGAGGTATCAATGTGAATACGTGAATACATTTTATGCTTTGTAAGACATTTCTTGGTTATATCTTGCCCCTCCATCGTGTGGTACCCGCAATAGACAAAAATGAATCGTAATCACAAAAGCTGTTGTATACCTTGGAGATGTCGACGGCCAGTGAAGTGTGGAAGCCAGGTCCAACTGAGATGCCCTTGTCGGAGAGGATTGGCGGCAGCCCGTAAGGGTGTACAGCAACCTGGGGGAGACGCTCAGAGGTTAGGATTCTGTTTGTTTGTTTGTTTGTTTGATGTTTCACGCCGCACTCAGCAATATTCCCGCTATTTGACTGCGGTCTGTAAATAATCGAGTCTGGACCAGACAATTCAGTGATTGACATCATGAGCATCGATCTAAGCAAATGGTATACGATGACATGCATCAACCAAGTCAGCGAACCTGAAACCCGATCCCGTTAGTCTCTTCTAAAAAGAGTAGTATAGGACAGCGCATAAGTATCCAAGCCAGCGGGAATTATCTCGCCTACCGGAAGTGCCGCCATCTTGGATGCGCGAAGAAGGGCATGCTGGGTAATGCGTGCGCATTCAAAATGACGTCACGTCCGGTTCTGGGAGGGCGTGCGCATGCCTCCAAGATGGCATCACGCCCGGTTCCGGGAGGCGTGCGAGGAGTAGGAGAACCGCACGTAAAATCCTTAACTTCAATAAAAGACGCGCACGCAAAACCCTCCACTGAAGCAAGTTAGGACATAAGGGGCATCAGGGTGTTGGCAAGCAGAGTGAGGAGGAGGAGGACGGGAGGAGGAGGAGGAAAGAACTCCACACCCTCCCCCGTCATCTTGGAGGCACACGCCTACGAGTGACACCACATATATATGTATCTATCATATAATGGGTAGGTTTCTCAGCAGGATAAAGCCAACGGATAAACACGATATCCGTTGGGGTCATATGCGGATAGAGATGCAAATATCAAATGTCAAGTAGGGACTTCTTTCCCTGTTTATATACAAACATGGCGTCGCCCTCGTCACTCGGCGATCGAGTCAGAATTAACCATCGGGAATCTGGATAGACTACAGTAAACTACGGTTATAACGAACACGCTTATAACGAACTGACTGATAAAACGAACTTACTTTTTGGACTCGACTACTTGCGGTAGTCATGCTGTATCTAGACTTAAAACGAACTACGGTTATAGCGAACTAAAATTAGTAGTCCCTTTGAGTTCGTTATAACCGTAGTTTACTGTACTAGGATAATTGCTATCATTATCAAAAGGACAGTCTAATATACTGAAAATCAGTGTCTAACTGTGATGTAGCTAAGACATTTATAAGTTTTGGCAACTTTGGAGATATATATTTCGAAACAATTTTGCGAGGGCACGAGGCCTAGCCAAGCGGGATCAGAAGCCATATCTGTGCTTGTAGACCTCTGCGGCTTGAAACCTTTTCCACAAATCAAAATAGTTGGATTTGGCTGAAATATGTTTGAATTGTTACCTTGTTTCGTTTTGTCTCCGTGTGTACATCTGACAACACTTCTTAACGTTATGACAGGACAGACCGACAATCAACAACGTCTGACAGTGGCCGTGACGTCTCATAGACTAGGGTTAGAGTAGCTTCCCTTTGACAAAGGGCAGTTACTCTAGCGGACAGACCAATGGATTGCCGCGAAAGGCAATTAAAAACAACTGTTGTTTTGCGTATATGTTGCTTCGCCACTGTATAAGAAACAGATTTCAGTTGGAACTATATTGGCTACTGTCACTGTCCGACTTACACCTCACTTACCCTGTGACGTAATAAATATTAATGCGCGCATTCCAGGAAAACTCGCAATGTTTCGGTAATGTTTGTGAGGGAGGGAAAGCGATTTTGAAGCACAGAATACAGAATGACATTATATGATAAAGAGGTTATCAAGCTTGTGTGTTTGCGGTGGTAAATATCTTGCATTAGGAATAAACATTGTATTTAGCGAGCCTTGGCGAGGTGACAACCTCTATGTATTGATACACGAGTGGCATCACGTTTGCATGGAGACACGAGTAAAACACCATAAATATTTAAATATATCACACGAAATTGCCGTTCAGAACATTCGAGAACGTATGAACATTGAGAACTGCATGGTGAACTAATTAATAGAGAAGGTGAGGTTTACTGATACCCTATATGGCTGTGTACATGTTGTTTTCCAGAGTCTTAATACATTGTTACTTCATTGAGTCCGGGAGTAAATGGGGACACATCATTGTTTCTCTGGCATCCGTCAGCTTGGTGTTGGAAGGAAGTCTAAAGTCACCAGGTCGTAGACGTTCGCCACAATCACGGACATGGTGCTGACAAACCAAGGATCATAAGCTGGGAAACCCTGGCAACTGAGGAATGCGATACCTTCTTTGAACATAACCCTGTATTTTAAAAAGAATGTCCTCTTCAATCATGTTAAAATCACAGTTCATGAACCCAAGTAGCGATGCTTGGATTCCGATTGCGATTTGGTGGATTGTTTCACCAAAGTGGTAAGGTGAGGTGAGTTGAAATGGGGTTTAAGGTCGCGTCCAAAATTATTGCACTTTTATTGCACGTGTGTGTGGCTGCTTGTACAAGTCCGGACTGATGCCGATTTATAGTGCTAGCTCACTGGGATACCATGCTGCAGATAAACACGAATACCCCAATCAGACAACACTGAATCCAAGCCGACCAGTCCTTGTCTTATCCCCTTAATGCCGAGCGCCAGACAGGGTTACAACAAGTACCATCTTTTAACGTCTTTTGGTAAGGCGCGGCCGGGTATCGAAGCCCGGACCTTCTTCTCTCCGGGGGACGCTCTACCACTAGACCACGGAGGCGGTCACACCAAAGTGGTAACCACCAGGACCGCCAGACGTTAAAAGATGGTATTGGTGTTACCCTGCCTGGCGCTCGGCATTAAGGGGATAAAACAAGAACTGGTTGCTCGGAGTAAGTATCCTGTGTCTGAGCTGGGTTTTCATGTTAAACTGCGGCATGGTATCACAGTGGGCTATCACTAAAAATATCGACATTAGTCATCGCAAGTACAAGCGGGCACACAAACGTGCATGCATGTCGTTATATGAGTGCAATAAACTTGGACTTGACGTTAACCTCACCTCACCTTGCCTTGCATAGAGGGTTGTCATCCTGAGCTGTTACCTTAAAGCCGGCTCCATAGTGATCTGCAAAACTTCGCAGGTACTCCTCCTGCTGAGTGTGAAGGGACAACCGCAGGCCGTAGTCACGTCCGGAGTTCCGTGCCGCCAGCCTTCCGTCACCTGCATGTACGTGACGTCAACATTACATACACTTTCAGATACGTGACGTCAACATTACATACACTTTCAGGTACGTGACGTCAACATTACATACACTTTCAGGTACGCGACGTCAACATTACATACACTATCAGGTACTTGACGTCAACATTACATACACTTTCAGGTACGCGACGTCAACATTACATACACTTACAGGTACGCGACGTCATCTTTACAACGTCAACATTACATACACTTACAGGTACTTGACGTCAACTTTACAACGTCAACATTACATACACTTACAGGTACGCGACGTCAACTTTACAACGTCAACATTACATACACTTTCAGGTACGCGACGTCACATTACATACACTTTCAGGTACGTGACGTCAACATTACATACACTTTCAGGTACGCGACGTCAACATTACATACACTTTCAGGTACGCGACGTCAACATTCAAATGCTTTCAGATACGTGACGTCAACATTACATACACTTTCAGGTACGCGACGTCAACTTTACAACGTCAACATTACAAACACTTTCAGGTACTTGACGTCAACATTACATACACTTTCAGGTACGCGAGATCAACATTACATAAACTTTCAGGTACTTGACGTCAACATTCAAATGCTTTCAGGTACTTGACGTCAACATTACATACACTTTCAGGTACGCGACGTCAACATTACATACACTTTCAGGTACGTGACGTCAACATTCAAATGCTTTCAGATACGTGACGTCAACATTACATACACTTTCAGGTACTTGACGTCAACATTCAAATGCTTTCAGGTACTTGACGTCAACATTCAAATGCTTTCAGGTACTTGACGTCAACATTACATATGCTTTCAGGTACTTGACGTCAACATTACATACACTTTCAGGTACTTGACGTCAACATTACATACACTTTCAGGTACGCGACGTCAAAATTACATACACTTTCAGATACGCGACGTCAACATTACATACACTTACAGGTACGCGACGTCAACATTCAAATGCTTTCAGGTACTTGACGTCAACATTACATATGCTTTCAGGTACGCGACGTCAACATTACATACACTTTCAGGTACGTGACGTCAACATTCAAATGCTTTCAGATACGTGACGTCAACATTACATACACTTTCAGGTACTTGACGTCAACATTCAAATGCTTTCAGGTACTTGACGTCAACATTCAAATGCTTTCAGGTACTTGACGTCAACATTACATACACTTTCAGGTACGCGACGTTGACATTACACACACTTTCAGGTACGGGACGTCAACACTAATATACTCCTCGGCAAAAATATTGCACCAATAAATTTGAAGTGTAATTCCGAGTTCATTTTCAGTGTTCAGAGATTTTCAAATGTTACACCGTGTTTTGACACATCATCTGCTTGTAGAATGGCCGCCATCTTAACTACACATTCTTGTAGGCGCGTTTACGCGAGCCGTATCCTGAGTGGTCTCTGTGTGAGATGAGAGAACGTTCATGCGCCTTTACTGCTCTCATTTTTAAATGAAAATTCGGACCATGTAAAACGTCTGTCATTGGCACGATTGTAAATGAAATGCCTCAGCATACTATCCCCGAAAGTCAAAGATGGCAAATCATTGGCATACACAAACTGGTAGCCACGGTGTTGAACAGTAACCATAGTGTAATAAGTTGACTCATAAGAAAATACAGATTGCCTGGACATGTGAGGGGCTTGCCAAGATCAGGAAGGCCAGTACCAGAGAGGACAAGGTCCTTGCACGCCAGGCAAAACGGCTGCCAACTTCAACTTGCACTGTTCTTCGTCATCACTGGCATACCCACAACAGAGTGTCCCTCATCACCATCAAGCTTCCACTGAATGCAGCAGGATCAAGGGCCAGGAGACCAATAAAACGTCGGCTCCTCTCATCTCAACACATGCGGGACCGTTTCGCCTGGTGTCAGGCTCGAGCACACTGGAACTTGGCGTCATGGAGGATTATTCATTGGGTTGACGAGAGTCGGTTTGTACTGCACCACATTGATGCTAGAACTCGTGTCTGCGGGCAAAGGGGATCATCAACACAACATCCAGGAAACAGTGACTTGTGGTGATGGCTCAGTGATGGAATGGGGATGTGGCTCCTTTGAGGGGACAGTAATGGACAAAGGTACCAAGATAACATATTGGAGGGCTTTGTGCCTCATTTTGATAACCGTGCACTTGCCACGCGCTCTGTCTTAATGGACGAAAATACGCGACCCAACCGAGCACGAGCTGACTGACTATCTCCAGAACAAGGCCATTGAGACTTTGCTGTGGCCTCCTCGAAGCTCAGGCCAAAATCCAATAAAGCATCAATGGGATCGAGCATCTATTGTCCCGAAGGGCTAGAGCCGGGAACCCTCCAGTTCACAATTTCCAAGAATTGCATTGACAATGGCAGACGTCTGATTTCCAGCATGAGGAGACGTCCTGCGGATGTCACCCGTGAACGTGGTGGCTACAATAGATACTGACTTACACTGTTGAACATTTAACTGTGACATGGGTACAACGTTACTAAGACACGTACGTGTTGATCTGTCAATCCTATTCCTGACAGTTACCATACTTATAACGCTTCTATCTATCCCCAGTTACAGTCCTTGAAGTCGATGGCGAATAAAGCTTCTTTACCTTCTTTGCAAATGCCAATTTTTCCTATTATTCATAAAATGATCATCGTATTTGACATTACCTAACACTTTTGATTGCTTGTGTTTCGCTTCCGAGCTTCTCTTTACCAATCTAATTACCATTTCTGATTATCTGATTTCTGATTTTTACGCACGCACGCACAGACAGACAGACAGACAGACAGACAGACAGACACACACACACACACACACACACACACACACACACACACACACACACGGTTCTTACCGTTAAATACAAAGCACAATCCAAAGTCAGTAAAGGTGGTAGTGAAATTCTCCAGGCCACAATCGCCGACTTCCCATCGACACTAAAAATTGAAAAGAGTTAAATCAACAAAATCCATTTGTTTCAATGGAAATCGATTCAGTGAAATGATCCTCCTCCTTGCCACTAGATCAATGCCAATGTGGTAAAGCTTTTGTGAAGAAATAGTGAATAGATATATTTTCTTCCTTGGAATCGTAAATCTCCACAGGTGAAAAAAGTCCGGATTAGTAATCATGGAAAACATACACACAGAAGGGAAAACGTACAACTTCCCCAACAGTGATGTGTAAAGAAATTTTGATTTGATCCATCCCTTAACCTTCACGGTTTACCTCATCTTCCCGAGGAAGTCCAGTTTCCACCCTTGCCGAACTAGGCTGGTATTATGGAGTTACATTTTGGCTGGACTAACGAGTCTATGCATAGTCCAATCAAAATCGCGCACCGAAATCGAAATGCGGTTCGTAAACTGTCGTGTAGATTTCGATCGATTGCAGGATTTGCAAAGCATGTGCACCGCCAACTCGATGTCAGCAGAGATTTTCCAAATCTGTTCATGTTTTTAATCAAGGTGCTCACGTGATTTGATGCATTTCGCGACGTAAAACCCGTTTTATTACAATATAGATCTTGATTATCGATCAGATCGTCCTGACTGGACGCCGCCATTTTGTTTGAAGCAAATGCAAGTGATACGAGAGATGGAATCTGATTGGTCAACAGGAGAGGCTTAAAAGGGATATAACTGGTAATAGCCACTGGTGGCGCTGCGATCGAGCCCAGTAATTCCAGCCTAGTTAGGCAAGGGTAGAAACTGGACTTTTATAGTCAATGAACGCTCTTGCCTCGGGAAGATGGGTTTACCTTTTCAAATCAGAACTTAACAAACTGTTTTCCATCTTTCCATCTCCTGTTGTAAAGCTGTACACTAATTACAGACCCCAGCCGTCACAGGGCAGGGGCAGGGACAGGAGAGGACAGGGGCAGGGGCAGGAGAGGACAGGAGCAGGGGTAGGAGAGGACAGGAGCAGGGGCAGGAGAGGACAGGGACAGGGGCAGGGGCAGGAGGGGACAGGGGCAGGGGCAGGAGCAGGAGGAACAGGAGCAGGGCCAGGAGAGGACAGGGGCAGGGGCAGGAGAGGACAGGAGCAGGGACAGGAGCAGGAGAGGACAGGGGCAGGGGTAGAGGTAGGAGAGGACAGGGACAGGGGTAGGAGAGGACAGGACAGGGTCAGATGCAGGGTCAGGACAGGACAGGGGTAGGAATAGGGGCAGGGGCAGGAGAGAACAGGGGAAGAGGCAGGGCTAGTAGAGGACAGGGGCAGGGAAAGAGGCAGGAGAGGACAGGACATGACAGGAAGGGGCAGGAGTATGAACAGGGTCAGGGTCAGGGTATGGGCAGGGGCAGGAGCAGGGATAGGGTACGGGGCAGAAGAGAGCTGGGGCTTGGGTGGGAGTGGAAAGGGGCAGGGAATAGAGGCAGGGTTATGGACAGGGGCAGGGGCAGGTTGGGTATAGACAGGGATAAAGGCAGGGCAGAAGAGAGCAAGGGCAGGGGCAGGGGTAGAAGAGGGCAGGGGCAGGGGCAGGGGTAGAGGCAGGACAGGACTAACAGGGGCAGTGTCAGGAGCAGGAAAGAACAGGGGCATGGGCATGGGTGCGAGTGGACAGGGGTAGGGGCAGGGACAAGGGCTGGAGAGGAAAGGGGTAGGGACAGGGGCTGGGACAGGGGCAGGGGAGGACAGGACAGGGATAGAGGTATGGACAGGGGCAGGGACAGGGGCTGGGTCAGGGACAGGAGAGGATAGGGGCAGGGGCACTATCACAATAGTCCTGTGAGGAAATGCCTAAACAGCAGGAGCTCGAATGTATCAACTATGTTGAAGCAACCATCATCACTTTACACATGAAATGTACATTTAGTGGACCAGCGGAATACAAATTTGATGTTGAATAGGACGCATTAGTCTCAGTTTGTCAATCACGTATTGATTTAACGGTATACCACAGTACACCCTTGATACAGTACATCAAGCTCTACCTCTATAAATTGTATAACACGTTTTCTGTATTGACACTGGCAGTCCGTAAAACGTTCCAGATGGCGAAACAAACATCTATAAAAAAATGTAATTAAAACTACTTCACCACATGGTCATTTACCAACACACGTGAGCGCTAATGACAGATTTATCATTATCAACCACACGTTAACACACACCCAAGTATGTGCGCCGACACGATGGGACACTATACAAATGGTGCGGAAGCAAAACATTCGAGTTCCGAGTGAATGTTTTATTAACCCACCGTGTGTGAGGCGCCCTGATATGTCAGTCCTGGGGGCGAGAAATATAGCGTTGATATATACTCAACAACAAAAGTTCCTGAGACACCAATATTTTAGTGTATTTTTCAAACAAGTGAAGTTTGGTTTTCAATATTGTAGTACATATATGGAATCAAGTCACAAAAACGCAACTGCTACAGAAAAGCATGCATTCCATGCAAAAGTTTACTTTTTATGTAAGTATCATGCATTTCACTACCCAAGAATGAGTATAAAACACGTGTGTTAACGAGATTCCATGTGCATTGTTTAGCATCGTGCTGACAACAACCACTCAGAAAAACAACAAAATTACACAATTATTCAACATTACGAAATGTATCGCCTGTCCGAAAATGAGCGTCTGCGAGCCATTTGTATGCTTGAAGCAGGATCGAGTCAACGTGACGTTGCAAGACAATTTAACGACCACAGAAACACCATTTGGTGTTTATGGCAACGTTCGCAACAGGCGAATGCAGTCAGAGACCATCCGCGGAGTGGCAGGCCACGCGTAACCAATAATCGACAAGACAACTGGATGCGAACAAAACACCTACGAAATCGATTCCAGCCAGCAACAGTGACTGCAAGAAGCATCCCTGGCCTTCGACGAATATCTTCACAAACCGTACGTCGTCGCCTCAGATGTGCAAGGATTGTCGCCAGAAGACCCGCCAGACGCCCCTTTTTGGTAGGAAACCACCGTCAGGCACGTCTACAGTGGTGCAAACAGCGTCTACGCTGGACAGCCCGGCAGTGGGGAAAAGTTCTATTCACTGACGAGTCTCGTTTTCACCTCAGCCACAGCGATGGACGAATTCGAGTACCGACGTCGAAGTGAACGTTACGTGGAATCATTGTGTCATGGAAGAAGATTGGTTCGGGGGCGGCAGCGTTATGGTATTGGGTGGGATTACAGCAAGACAGTTTGATAGTGGTAGAGGGAAATCTCAATGGAGAGCGCTACCGCGACGAGATCATCGGCTCTGTTGTTCGACCGTTTCTGCGTCGTCATGGCCCAGGCATTACCTTTCAACATGACAACGCCCGGCCTCATATTTCTCGACTTGTTCAGGATTCTCTTCAACAAAACAACGTGAATGTCATCCCCTGGCCGGCTCGCTCCCCTGAACTCTCACCAATCGAGCTCGCGTGGGATGAGATGAGATATATATAACAGATTATTGTACCTTTCATTGAAGCTCCACATTTCTAAAATGCAATTCACGCATCTCCAAATCAGGTCATCCTAACAAAACCTTTTACATTTTCATAAGAAGTCTATGCCAATAGCAGAGTCGATTGTACGATTCCTGCTATATTATGAGCATGTGTTTTATGGATCACTGTGTAAAAGAGATACCAGGTGATTGCGAAAAGATGTGCATCCGTCACAAACACATGCAAAAAGCAAGTAAATTGTTAACCCGAAAAACAACAACATGAGAACATGTGAAACATCTCTCTTATTTCAAATTCCGTTGGGAATTGGCTATTTGACTGTGATTGAATTCAATATCAGACCATCGATATACTCCAAGTTATACTTTTTGGCCAAACTCTCGTCTTATGGATTTGACAATCCGAGCAGAATTTCCTAATCGTATGCAGAACGAAACAGATCAGTAAGGAGCGGAGCACAATTTGTGTCCATGGGGATGTCTACTTCTTTCCTAAATGCCCTATACCTAAATTTCACACAGGTATTTTCCATGAGCAAGTTCAGAATTTCAGGTTCTCAGTAACATCAGATAACATTGGAGTGAGTTGTGTTTTACGTCTCTTTCAGCAACAGTCCAGCAATATCAAGGCGTGGAACATCAGAAATGGGCTTCACATAGTTTACACATGTTTCTCAGTAATATCAGATAACATTGGAGTGAGTTGTGTTTTACGTCTCTTTCAGCAACAGTCTAGCAATATCAAGGCGTGGGACACCAGAAATGGAGTTCACATAGTGTACACATTTTACGTCTCTTTCAGCAACAGTCCAGCAATATCAAGGCGTGGAACATCAGAAATGGGCTTCACATAGTTTACACATGTTTCTCAGTAACATCAGATAACATTGGAGTGAGTTGTGTTTTACGTTTCTTTCAGCAACAGTCTAGCAATATCAAGGCGTGGAACATCAGAAATGGGCTTCCCATAGTTTACACATGTTTCTCAGTAACATCAGATAACATTGGAGTGAGTTGTGTTTTACGTCTCTTTCAGCAACAGTCCAGCAATATCAAGGCGTGGAACATCAGAAATGGGCTTCCCATAGTTTACACATGTTTCTCAGTAACATCAGATAACATTGGAGTGAGTTGTGTTTTACGTCTCTTTCAGCAACAGTCCAGCAATATCAAGGCGTGGAACATCAGAAATGGAGTTCACATAGTGTACACATTTTACGTCTCTTTCAGCAACAGTCCAGCAATATCAAGGCGTGGAACATCAGAAATGGGCTTCCCATAGTTTACACATGTTTCTCAGTAACATCAGATAACATTGGAGTGAGTTGTGTTTTACGTCTCTTTCAGCAACAGTCCAGCAATATCAAGGCGTGGGACACCAGAAATGGGCTTCCCATAGTTTACACATGTTTCTCAGTAACATCAGATAACATTGGAGTGAGTTGTGTTTTACGTCTCTTTCAGCAACAGTCTAGCAATATCAAGGCGTGGGACACCAGAAATGGAGTTCACATAGTGTACACATTTTACGTCTCTTTTAGCAACAGTCCAGCAATATCAAGGCGTGGAACATCAGAAATGGGCTTCCAATTGTTTACACATGTTTCTCAGTAACATCAGATAACATTGGAGTGAGTTGTGTTTTACGTTTCTTTCAGCAACAGTCTAGCAATATCAAGGCGTGGGACACCAGAAATGGAGTTCACATAGTGTACACATTTTACGTCTCTTTCAGCAACAGTCAAGCAATATCAAGGCGTGGAACATCAGAAATGGGCTTCCCATAGTTTACACATGTTTCTCAGTAACATCAGATAACATTGGAGTGAGTTGTGTTTTACGTCTCTTTCAGCAACAGTCCAGCAATATCAAGGCGTGGAACATCAGAAATGGGCTTCCCATAGTTTACACATGTTTCTCAGTAACATCAGATAACATTGGAGTGAGTTGTGTTTTACGTCTCTTTCAGCAACAGTCCAGCAATATCAAGGCGTGGAACATCAGAAATGGGCTTCCCATAGTTTACACATGTTTCTCAGTAACATCAGATAACATTGGAGTGAGTTGTGTTTTACGTCTCTTTCAGCAACAGTCCAGCAATATCAAGGCGTGGAACATCAGAAATGGGCTTCGCATAGTATTCACATGTGAGAAATCGAACCCGGCCTTCGGGTGTGACGAACGAAAGCTTTTACCACTAGGCCATTAATCGCCCATTAACTGACAATAATCGTGTAATAATTGATCCAAGGAACAATCTGGTACCTTGTATCACAGGCATACCATTTATTGCATGCACTAAATTAGCAACAAAACAACAATAAGTTTTATAATGAATACAAGGGAATACTAATTGTAATTGAAAAACAGTAAATGTGACAGTGAATATTAAGCAAACTGAGGTGCATGTACTTGCCTGTAATACTTGATCTTCAATCCTATGTCCATTAAATTGATAATAATTCTCCCATGCCCTTTGCGAGTGGAATTGAGAGAAGTCAAATTCGTCAAAAGATGGTGGCGTGTCATTTAGGTTCTCAAATCCAAATTGCTTCATTTTCTTAACCATCGGCACGATATGTTCATGTTTTGCTTCCTGAAGTCGAATGAAGTTGATGTTACAGATGGTGACGGTGGGGAAGGGGAGAACTCTACCTCTCAGGATGTCGTAATTGACACGTATAGGCTTGCTAAGGTAGAGAATGATCTGTGTAGAGATGTTGTAGGACGTAAAGGCGAGGGCCGCGATCAAAATCCACACCCACACAAGCTTGCGACACCACCCTGAGTCAGCCTTCAGTAGTGTATTAAGACCATGCATGTTGACACAGTCAGCGAAACGGGGACTTGACTCTGATATCTTGTTCTTCATTTTGCGCAATATGTGTAGCAGCCTCTGTTCCTGCTATGTGTATCCCAATACCCCGAATTCCATCATAGGAAGTGTCAAAATCACTGTCCAGTGGAAATAAAATCAATACATGTAGGCGTTAAATGAAGCTCTCGTTAATGCTGTCAACCACGTAGGTGTTGCTGGTAGATTCATGAACTCAGACAGAACGGCACTTCTATCTTTATTATTTGTTTCACGGATTCGCCAACCATGAATCTACAAAGGTAGATTTCATTTGAATTTCAAAAGTCCATTTCTCTTTCCACAGTAATAACTATACAAATAAACAACACATTACAATAGAGCGATATGAGAAAGGAACATAATAATAATTACACACATACGTTTTGACGTTTTCATTCTTGTTTCTACCTCCTGTTCGATGAGACGTCCTCCGTGGTCTTGTGGCTGAGCATCAACCTTCAGGGGAAGGTCGGGGTTCGATTCGGCTCGGTGTCAGTATACTGTGTCTGAGTGGGGTATTCATGGTAAACTGCGGCATGATATTTCAGTGGGCTAGCACTATAAAATCGGTAAATGTTCTCCAGTACAAATACTATTTTAATTCTAGTAACGTGTTGCAGAAGGTGGACTCAGTAACGCATGATGTAAGTTCAACTACTTATGGCTGCCAAGTGTCTTCATACTGCTGCCAAGCTCTTGGTCATGTAATCACAAATGATATTACTATTGTTGGCAAAAACATCCTTCATCCATTGTTCAAATATGGTCTAAATTATCGTGAACAATCAGCTATTAATTGAGATCACAACTTTGAAATAGATATGGGTGCTCTCGAAGCAGATGCCAAAATATGGGCCTGTGGAGAAGAAGAACCTGTGATATGTCTTTTAGTCTTTGAAGTAAGTTCGTGATAATTTCATTGGCAGAATGCATAAATTGAAAAAGAAAAAGAAAACAAAGAATAGGAATAAACCCATTCTCTACCAGCCAGCTGTATTCCAAACCCTGGCTGCCCTACATGAAAAGTTTGTAGGCCTCATGTGTGACAACCAGAATTTGTAATAATCACTAGCTTAACTGTTTGATCTAAGAACTTGGTATACGAAAGAAATAATGTCACATATAACACCGATATGCTAACTGAGAAGGAATTCTGCCGAGTTGACGATTGGGAAGTTGAAGTCATCCTTTTTGTCATACAGTTTTGTGGAGAGTGTTTTGTCACTCTGAATCTTTATGCATAGATCTAAATATGAAACAGATGAGGCGGTCTCAATGGTCTCCTTTATTTCTAATTCAAGAGGCTAAATCAGGGGAAGAGAATTGGCTTTTTGATTATTATTGAACGATATCAAATAACCGATAAGCTAAGCTAAACGTAGGCTTAAGCTAACCTTCTTGACCAAATTACCGATTTTTCACTTTGCCAATCCGAGCAGAAATTCCGATGCCTATGCAGAAAGGAAGAGGGAAATGTTGACACCGACGCCTGGAGCTGCTGGAATACTGCTCTACATGAAGGGAAGATGAGACGTCTAAATTGGTCTGAATGAAATGTTTTTTTGATGTTTGGCTAACATGCTCGCCATATAGTGGGAAACGTAGAATGGATCCTGCTTCTTGCAGAGTCCATAAGTTGTGAAGCGGTTGGGTAGCCTAGTGGTGCCGACTCCCAACATGGGGATATGTGAGGAGCCCATTTCTGGTTTCCTCCACTCACTCACTCACTCACTCACTCACTCATGATTATTGAAAGGGTTTTTATCAAATAGTCCACATGCACTTCAGTATGTCCGCAATCGTCCTCGCAACTTGAAATATAATCACAAAATATCGCGAAGATTAATTAAGGAACACAATTAGCTGCGACGGATTGAGAAAATATATACGAAATAAACGCTGTCTGTCTGCCCTTTCGTGCATGTGAGAGACAAGAAAGTTATATCTTTAAACGTTGATTCTTAAGCACATGCGTGTCTCCTTGAAAATGACAGGATGTGAATGAAATAGTAGACAGCCACACGTGAGGCTGTGGGGTCCAGCTTGGTGTGTCGTGGGATATTATTACTTACTCACATACTGTATAGATTATGATTTCATCTATTGAAAGATTGAATGTGAAGTACGTGCGTGGCAGGTTAATTATACTACACGTAAGTTGATAGTGAGTGATTGAAATACCAAACAGTAAATCATTGATATAAGTATGGCAGATCAACAAGGTATAAGTACACCATACCTCGGCAACTCTACACACATGCCACTAAAATATTAAATCTCTTAGCGGAAATAACGTTTCAAAATACGCTTTAAAAACTTTATTACAATGTTTTCATGAAACATTGCCATGAGAAACCCGAAGAAAACGTTGTATAAACGTTGTGTGTTAGCAAGGTAGACATGACAAAAGTGCAAATAAGCCTTACTTACGCCTGCGATGTTGTGAATTTGCATTGACGATGTTACGATCTATCCAAATCTGCAAAGTTGTAAACCCACTTGACTTGCACCTTAATGCAATCAAGGAAAGAACTTCTTTACAATTACAGAAAGTATCTGACACAAGTGGAATTTATACCATGTGGATTCTCAAAAACGCAAAGGATTTGCTTAAATTTCAATTCTGTCAAAACATTTGGCTTTTACAAAATTTGTACACCACTATCCAACATGACAAACCTGAGGAAAAAAACATCCTTCCTTGATCCATAGGGTCTTTGTGGTGACCTAGATACAGTTACACATCTATATTCAGAGGTTCAGGACAATTTGTCAACATGAAAGCAAATGCCATCTGAAAGTTTACTGAGAAAAGAATATGTGAAATATTGTACTCCCTTAGTGATAACATTGATAAAGTGTGACAGGCCTTAGACAACAACATAAAGACGGCATCGTCTCATTATATGAAGTGCACTATCTTATAGATTCAATATGCTCCTATTATAAACTAGCGAATTTCAACATCGACCTTTAAGCACCGGTCCTGTGCAGCCCGCCTGAAAGCAAGGCGTCCTGTGAAGGGTGTGACCCCAACAGATCACCATAGGTGGCAAAGACTGTGGTGGGTTAGGCAACATCAAGTAGGGACTGTGCGCTAATGGTGTCAATCAAGGTTTCGCCGCCGATTCACAGATGGCAGAAAACGTTGTTGGCGACGTAGCGGGGATCGGTATGCCACGGCAACAATTCTTGACCGTGATCGAGGGCGGTAGTGTCATGGTGTGGGGCGGTATCACACATGGCAGATACAGGTCGTCACAGATTATCTCCGACGAGAAGGGATACGGACATTGGAATGGCTCGCAAAGCCCCCTGACATGTCTCCAACCCGAGAATCTGTTGGATGTTCTGGGGCGGAGAGTGTACGCCAGAGAACCAGCACCGGCCAACATGGCCAAGCTTAGTGTAACTCTCCAGGGTTTCCTACTCTATTAACTGTGTGCCTGCCTCGCGGTACCTCACCCCGGCACTGAATCAACTCGCTGACTCTAATTATCCGTCTGATTTAATGGGCATATGTACAATTGTGTTCTGTGTTCCCGGTCTCCATATATCAATAGCTTCAGTGTTGGGCGCAATATTGAGGTATAATTATTTTAGATGCAATGAAAAGCTCCGGCATGGATCGATATCACGTTATCGGATGAAAGAAGGCTTTATTTGAAGGTTATATTTGGTTATGTTTGAAAAGAACTGCATCAAGTAATAGCATCAGTTAACATTTTACAATGGTGGCCGGAGCGACTCTAATAGTATAATTATAATCTCAATCGTTATTACTCGCTTTTATCTTTTACGTTTTTGTTGAATTCCGCAAAACATAATCCATGAATCTGCAACCTATGTAAATGTTTATAATCATGTATGGCAGGGCTGATTGATATGCTGAGATGCTCAAGTATGAAGAATTGTTTGTTTGTTGTTTAACGCCGCACTCAGCAATATTCCAGCTATATGACAGCAATCTAAATAATCAGCTAGACCAGACAATCCAGTAATTTATATCATGCGAATCGATGGGAGACGATGACATGCGTAAACCAAGTCAGCGAGCCTGACCACCCGAACCCGTTAGTCGCCTTTTATGACAAGCATGGTTGCTGAAGATCAGCTCTAACACCGACCTCTACGAGGCAACACATACAAAGGGTCGGTGAATGATCGAGTCTGGACCAGACAATCCAGTGATTGCACTGTTTGCTTTTTATGTGATTTATACACATTCTACGCATCTGTATGGGATGACCGTGATGTATCTGCTGTTAATGCTGTACACCACCGTGCTATCAGGTTTTTTCTTGGCGTGGGCAGATAGGCACCTAATTTGGCTCTTAATGGGGATACGGGATGGTCAGATAGTGATATGTATAGCTGGACAGTGGTGTCGTTTTAGAAATATGTCTGGTCGATTGAATAAACATGTTTTTTGGTGGGCGGAAAGGCTTTCACCCAATCACAAGAACTGGAACTCACGTTTTTCGGCAAAATTGGCCGACCTTAACATACAGCATATATTCAACATCACCACTGCTTTAAATGCGAAAGATATATCAAGCAACAAACAAGATGTCCTTATGGAAAAACATCTAAACAGCTGGCAGGAACTTCTATGGAGAGATAATGTTCATACTGGTACCAGGAAACTCCGTACATAAAGGATTTTAAAAGATTGTTATTGCTGTGAAGACTGTGTCAAGTGCGTTATGCCCCGGTGTTACAGAACTGCCTTTAAAACCATTAGATGTGGTATTGCGCGTTTAAGGGTCGAAACAGGCAGATATTTCAATTTAAAGGTTGAAGACAGCGTGTGCTTTAATTGTAATGATCATCTTGAAGATTAAAAACATGTTTTATTGTGGGTCCTTTTTAAACATGAGGTATATGTCACTATCAAAAACTGCTTTTTAATATTACAACGCAGATAACTATTGCTATATGGGTAAAACGTTTTCTGTGTTCTGGTATGTTCTGTGTATGGTCTCTCATAACTTCATATGAGTGGCGCTGTAATT